ATTGTGAAAATGTCAATGTTACCCAGGGCAATTGACACGTATAATGCAATCCTTATCAAAATACCATGGACTTTCTTCAGAGACTTAGAACAAATTATTTTAAGATTTGTGTGGAATCAGAAAAGACCCCAAACAGCCAGGGGAATTTTAAAAAAGAAAACCATATCTGGGGGCATCACAATGCCAGATTTCAGGTTGTACTACAAAGCTGTGGTCATCAAGACAGTGTGGTACTGGCACAAAAACAGACACATAGATCAATGGAACAGAATAGAGAACCCAGAAGTGGACCCTGAACTTTATGGTCAACTAATATTCGATAAAGGAGGAAAGACGATCCACTGGAAGAAAGACAGTCTCTTCAATAAATGGTGCTGGGAAAATTGGACATCCACATGCAGAAGAATGAAACTAGACCACTCTCTTGCACCATACACAAAGATAAACTCAAAATGGATGAAAGATATAAATGTGAGACAGTAACTTCTTGCAAGATACATCCACGAAAGCAAAAGAAACAAAAGCAAAAATGAGCTATTGGGACTTCATCAAGATAAGAAGCTTTTGCACAGCAAAGGATACAGTCAACAAAACTCAAAGACAACCTACAGAATGGTAGAAGATATTTGCAAATAACATATCAGATAAAGGGCTAGTTTCCAAGATCTATAAAGAACTTCTTAAACTCAACACCAAAGAAACAAACAATCCAATCATGAAATGGGCAAAAGACATGAAGAGAAATCTCACAGAGGAAGACATAGACATGGCCAACATGCACATGAGAAAATGCTCTGCATCACTTGCCATTAGGGAAATACAAATCAAAACCACAATGAGATACCACCTCACACCAGTGAGAATGGGGAAAATTAACAAGGCAGGAAACAACAAATGTTGGAGAGGATGTGGAGAAAAGGGAACCCTCTTACACTGTTGGTGGGAATGTGAACTGGTGCAGCCACTCTGGAAAACTGTCTGGAGGTTCCTCAAAGAATTAAAAATAGTCCTGCCCTATGACCCAGCAATTGCACTGTTAGGGATTTACCCCAAAGATTCAGATGCAATGAAACGCCGGGACACCTGCACCCCGATGTTTCTAGCAGCCATGTCCACAACAGCCAAACTGTGGAGGGAGCCTCGGTGTCCATCGAAGGATGAATGGATAAAGAAGATGTGGTTTATGTATACAATGGAATATTACTCAGCCATTAGAAACGACAAATACCCACCATTTGCTTCAACGTGGATGGAACTGGAGGGTATTATGCTGAGTGAAGTAAGTCAATCGGAGAAGGACAAACAGTGTATGTTCTCATTCATTTGGGGAATATGAATAATAGTGAAAGGGAATATAAGGGAAGGGAGAAGAAATGTGTGAGAAATATCAGAAAGGGAGACAGAACATAGAGACTTCTAACTCTGGGAAATGAACTAGGGGTGGTGGAGGGGGAGGAGGGCGGGGGGTGGGGGTGAATGGGGACGGGCACTGAGGGGGACACTTGACGGGATGAGCACTGGGTGTTATTCTGTATGTTGGTAAATTGAACACCAATAAAAATTAATTTATAAAAAAATATATGGAAAAAACTGCCTCCCTAGAGGAAAATTATTATCTTTATTATTACAGAGGAGCTAAGGCTTGATAAATGAAGTGACTTCCTAAGGTCATACTAACAGAGCTGACTCCAAAGCTGAGGGCACTTTACTTTTCCTTGTATTGTTTTGCTTTAATCTCACCTCCGTAAAAATAATTAAGTCTAGCAGCTAACATTTGTTGAGTATTTACTGTATGGCAGGCATTACTTTAAGTGTTTCACATAGACTATATCACTGAATCTTCATAATAGCACTTTAGATGGTGCTTTTATATTAGCCCCCCTTTACAGCAAAAGTTGAGAGGGTCAATTAATTTAGGAAGGTGACATAGTAAGTTGGTGGGGTCAGGATTTAAAAACTGGTTGATTTGCCTAAAATGCTGTTCTTAACCACTCTACCTGCCAAGGGAGATTGTTCTTCTTCCCCATTTGGACCTGCCCCTCTTCTTCCTGCTAAAGTCATGAGACAGAGCTGAGACTACTACTTTTATTCCTTGTCTTCCTTGGTCTGCCAGGTCTGAAAGGAGAAGGATATGATGACAAGTTTCCTCCCAAAATTCAAATGGTGTGATTATTGTACCCTTTGGGCTCAGGCATGAAATACATGCTTACCATCAATTCAGATTTTGTTAAGAGGAATGAGACTGAAAAATAAGCAAAAGTTTTTTTTAAGACACCTTTATTGTGATATACAGTTTACCCATTTAAAGTATACTATTCAGTGGCTTATGGTACAATCACAGAGTTGGACAACCATGATTACAATCTAATTTTAGAATATTTTTATCACTCCATAAAGAAACCCCATCTCCATTAGCAACCCCAGCTCTCAAGCCCTTGGCAACCATTAATCTATTTTCTGTCTTTATAGCATTTACCTATTCTTGACATTTCTTATCAATGGAATAATACAATATGTGGTCTTTTGTGACTTATTTCACTCAGCATAATGTTTTCAAGGTTCATTCATATTGCAGCATATATCAGGACTTCATTCCTTTTTATGGCTGAATAATATTCAGTTGTATGGCTAGACCAAAGTTCATCCATTCCTCATTGATGGACATTTAGGTTATTTTCCCACTTTTTGGCTGTTGTAAGTAATGACTCTTTGAACATTTGTGTACATGTGGGGTTTTTTGGAATGTCTATTTTTTTAATTTTTTTTAAATTTTTTTATTTATTTATGATAGTCACAGAGAGAGAGAGAGAGAGAGAGAGAGAGAGGCAGAGACACAGGCAGAGGGAGAAGCAGGCTCCATGCACCGGAAGCCCGATGTGGGATTCGATCCCGGGTCTCCAGGATCGCGCCCTGGGCCAAAGGCAGGCGCCAAACCGCTGCGCCACCCAAGGATCCCTGGAATGTCTATTTTTTAATGCTATGCTTTAATCTTTTTAAAGTTTCTATTATAATTCCAGTTAGTTAACATACAGTGTTATATTAGTTTCAGGTGTACCATATGGTGATTCAACAATTCCATACATCACCCAGTGTTATCACAGCAAGTACACTCCTTAAGACCTATCAACTGTTTTACCCAACACCCCACCCACTTCCCTTATGGTAACCATCTGTTTGTTCTTTGTAGTTAAGAGTCTGTTTCTTGGTTTCCATCCCTCTCTTTTTTTCACTCGTTCATTTTGTTTCTTAAATTCCACATATGAGTGAAATCACATGGTATTTGTTTTTCCCTGACTTATTTCTCTTAGCATTATACTCTCTAGCTCCAACCATGTCATTGCAAATGGCAAGATTTCATTCTTTTTATGGCTAATATTCAACTGTATATATAGACACCATTTCTTTATCCATTCATCAGTTGATTGACACTTGGGCTGTTTCCACAATTAGGCTATTGTAAATAATGCTGCTATAAACATTGGGGTGTGTATCCCTTTGAATTAGTGCTTTTGTATTCTTTGGGTAAATACCTAGTAGTGCAATTGCTGGATTATAGGGGAGTTCTATTTTTAATTTTTGGAGGAACCTCCATATAATTTTCCACAGTGGCTGCATCAGTTTGCCTTCCCACGAATGTTGCCAGAGGGTTCCCCTTTCTCCACATCCTTGCCATTACCTGTTGTTTCTTACGTTGTTGATTTTAGCGGTTCTGACAGGTGTGAGGTTTTGATTTTCATTTCCCTGATGGTAAGTGATGATGAGCATATTTTCATGTGTCTTTTTGCCATCTGGATATCTTTGGAGAAATATCTGTTCATGTCTTCTGCACATTTCTTAATTGGATTATTTGATATTTTGGTGTTTGGCTCTACAAGTCCTTATATATTTTGGATACTAACCCTTTATTGGGTATGTCCTGTGCAAATATCTTCTTCCATTTTGTAGGTTGCCTTTTATTTTTGTTTTTTCCTTTTCTGTGCAGAATCTTTTCATTCTGCCCTAGTCCCAATCATTTATTTTTGCTTTTGTTTTCCTTGCCTCAGGAGACATAACTAAAAACAGTTGCTACAGCTGAAGTCAAAGAGGTTACTATGTTGAACACCTGTTTTCAGTTCTATTGGCCATATGCCTAGGAGTAAAATGCTGAGTCCTATGGAAACTGTTTTTAGCATTTTAAGGAACCTCCAGGTCATCTTACATTCCCACCATCAATGTATGAGTATTTCGATTTCTTTGTATCCTCACCAATACTTGTTATTGTCTTTTTTTTGTTATTGTCTTTTTGATCATACCCATTATAGTGTATGAAGTGATATCTCATAGTTGTTTTGATTTGTATTTCCTTAATGTTGAGCAGTTTTGCCTGTGCTTATTGTCCATTTGCATATATTATTTGGAGAAATGCCATTTCTGATCCTTTGCCCATTTTTTATTTACTTTTGCTATTGAGTTGTAACAGTTCTTTATATGTTATGGATAAAAGTCTAATATTAGATATGTGATATACTATTTTTCTGATTATGTGGATCATCTTTTCACTTTCTTAGTGGCGTTATTTGCAGCACAGAAGTTTTTAATTTTGATGTACTCCAGCTTATTCATATTTTCTTTTGCGACTTGTGCTTTTGGAGTTCTAAGTAATCTCATCTATCATGATTTCAAGATGATTTACTCCTATGCTTTCTTTTCAGCATTTTGTAACTTTTTTTTTGTAAACGTGATTCTTCCATTTAGGTTTATAATCTTTTTTTGAGTTAATTTTTGTGTGTGGTGTAGGAAAGGAGTCCAACTTCATTTTTTTTCCATGTGGATATTTATTTGTCCCCACATCATTTGTTGAAAAACTATTCTTTCTCCATCTTTATTGTCTGGCACCTTTACCAAAAAGTAACTGATCATAAATATAAGGGGTCATTTCAGTACTTTCTTTTTTTTAAAGATGTTATTTATTTATTCATGACAGACACAGAGAGAGTGAGAGGCAGAGACACAGGCAGAGGGAGAAGCAGGCTCCATGCAGGGAGCCTGATGTGGGACTCAATCCCGGATCACCAGGATCACACTCTGGGCTGAAGGCGGCGCTAAACCGCTGCGTCCCCGGGGCTGCCCCATTTCAGTACTTTCAATACTCTTCTGTTTATTTACATGTCTATCTTTGTATGCATAACACACTGTCGATTACTGTAGCTCTGTAATAAGTTTTGAAATTGAGAAGTATCAATTCTCCAAGTTTGTTTTTTTAAGACTGTTTTGACTATTTTGGGTCCCTTGTAGTTTCATATGAATTGTAGGTTTGACTTTTCAATTTATGCAAAAAAGACAGCCAGGATTCTTATAAGGATTGAACTGAATGTGTAGATCGATTTTGGGAGTATTGTCATCGAAATACTAGATTCAGATTTTAATCTAAAAACTTTACATTTTATTTAATTTCTTTCAACAATATTTTGTAGTTTCAGTATAAAATTCTTACATTTCTTTTGTTAAATGCATTCCTATGTGTTCTGTTCTTTTTGATACTATTGTAAATGGAATTTTTTAAAAAGATTTTATTCATTATTCATGAGAGACACACGGAGAGAGGGGGGCAGAGACATAGGCAGAAGGAGAAGCAGGCTCTCTATGGGGACCCGGATGTGTGACTTGATACCAGGACCGCAGGATCACGACCTGAGCCAAAGGCAGACATTCAATCACTGAGCCACCCAGGCACCTCTGGAATTGTTTTCTTAATTTTGTTTCCAAATTGTCCAATACTAGAGTGTAGAGATACAAGTGATTTTATGTATCAACCTTGTATCCTGCAACCTTGTTGAACTCATTTAGGTAGGTAGTTGTGAGCAGTATGAGAAGACCAATAATATGCCTGGGATTACAAAATAATGAATTAGATAAATAAGGACTAGTATAATAGATTTCATGTACTGAACATGTTTGTGATAGGTTAATACTTCTCAACCTTTAATATGCATGTAAATCTTCTGGGAATCTAGTTAAAAGGGTTTGGGGTAGAGCCAGGATTCTGCCTTTCTAACAACTTCACAGTGGATAGCTGGTAGCTTTCATATGTTATTTTTAAAGCCACAACTATACAAGATACATATTATTATTCCCATTTTACAGATAAGAAAATAAACTCAAAAGTTGAGCAAATAACTCAGGTTCTTAGGATAAATGGAAAAACCAGGACTTGTACATGGTTCATTTGAGCGCCAAAGCTAGGCACTTTCCTCTCTACCACACAGGATATTTGGAATAGGAGGCGATTGATTGGGATACAAATAATGTATACACTGAGGGAAAAGGTAAGGTTTTCAGGGTCAGAGTTGCTGCTTGGAGTGCACTTGGGTCTAAACCTTGCAGTTACCTCGGAGAGTGGATCAGTGAGAACCTTGCCTTCCAGGTTGTTAAGAGGCAAGATATGAGACTGGACTATCAAGCAGAAGATGATACTAGTAGATGTGGGACCCAGGAAATTTAACAAAGCCCCTTACCCCTGGACAAACAGAGCAGGACTGACTCTGTTTTGTGCTGCACCCGCCTTGTGCTGACCTACTTATTACTTAGGGCACTGCCCCGCCCTAGTCAAAGACCAGGGCACACCCTAACCGGAAATCCAGCCTAGTGGATCAGCATGACTGCAACTTTCTGTGTATCCCATTGGCCACTGGACCCTAAGCCTCTTAGTCTCGGGGTCCAAGTCCCTGTTCCACTGTGTCAGGTATACTTGGACCCAGGCTCGAGCTTGTAAATAAACCCTCGTGTGTTTGCATTGGTGTTGGCTCCTTGGTGGTTTCTCGGATTCGCGATCTTGGGCACAACAGTAGACAGAACTCATGATTGGAGGTGGTCTAGAAAGTGCCTCACCTCTCTGATCAGGCTAGACTCCAGAACTGGACTCTGTATACTGCTGAGGTCTACACTTGAAATTACACCTACTGTCGACTCTTTGTGAGTCCTAAATTATTTTACTGGGGTTAATGAATGGTATAGCATTAGTGCTATACCATTAGAGAATTTCCATCACCTCAGTGAAAATACATAATTTTTTTTTGTCCTTAGCACCTTTTATTGAAGTATAACCCTTGATGACAATCCGGCAGGCATATCAATGTCAGCCAAGAAGGGAGTGGTGGAGGACACAATTGCAGAAACAATAAGATTCAGAAAAAGATTAGCTTCACACGGCATAGATGACCCCCGACAGTCATACAACAAACACTGGTCCTTTATCTATAGAAATTGCCCCCTGCCCCACCCCCCAAAGGCCTACTAATCTTCAAAGAATATAATACACTGTTACAGAAATAGTATTGGCATAGACAAATCATTTGGCAAAGACAGTGGGAGTCACCAAGCTCCAGACAGGAAGAAGTGGCCATAAATGTGCCTAGCTTCCTCCACCTGGGACTTGCTGCTACTGGCAGAGCAGCATCTTCAGGGAGACTGGGGTTAGGGGTGTGGCTCTGATGCCCCCAGGGCAGCTTTCTAACATAGGAGGTTAAGTGGAGAACAGAACCAGAACCTGAACCTGGCCTCAGGAAAGGATTTTCATCTTTCATCCTCTTGGCTTCCAGTCTCTCCATTTCTAGGGTTTGGTTTTTAGTGTGTCTGTCTCTCTTGGGTACCCCCTTGAGTATTTACCACTCTACTCTGGCAGAGTCTGCAGCTTGTGGGACTCAAGGAGACACAATTTACCCAGACCCTCAGGATTGGGATGGGGGAGTAGGAAGGGACAAGTGATAGTAGCTCTTGCACAGACTACTCTCTCTATATCAACCTGTTACCCACCAGGGCCTGTATGAGGATTTGAAATAGAAGGCAGAGGTCAAGACCAGTAACCATCTGGGGAATCTCCTTGGCCTCCCTTCCAAACTGTATACACTGGCTGGTCTTGGAAGAGGGCTGAGCCCAGGAAATGAGAACAGGGGAGAGATGCTGCATTTTGAGTAATCCTGGCAGCTCTGGACCAATATCACTCATGTCAGTAGCATGGGGCATTAGTTGCTGTTTGGTAGCTCACCTTTCTCTGCCAAGCTTCACTTCTCAGTATAGTTTTGGGGTTATTTTATTAAGTGCTTTAGAAACTGTCCTTCTGTGTGAAAATGAGCATTCTTGTGCTCTGATCCCAACTCTAATCTCAGGTGGGATGAGAGACAAAAATAACACAGTCAATAGTACTTTTAGTGTGATAAATTTCATGTAAAACCAATCTAATGCTGACTAGAACAACTCAGACCATAGTTATCATGTCTAGGTGAAGTGACCACTCTTTTCCCTGGGCCTTTCCCCAGCCTAAAAAGCTGCCCTAGCCCCCCAAATCTTAGAATGATGAGAATGATGGATTATATTTGGCCTCAGCCCACTATATAGGACATCTCAACTTACTCATTGTTTATTTTAGAGCCTGTTTAAGAAAAAAAGCAGATGGCAACTGCAGCTTCTATTCATAACACTCTCCCACCTTCATCAACTTTGGCTTGGGTAAGCCCAGGCCTTTACAAGCCATCGGCCTTCCTGAATAGAGTAGACTCCTCCATTTGAGGGCAGAATGGCAGGTTGACATTTTAACAGTGGTTCCAACAGCAGCAGTGTACTAAGAGCATACCCAGGGCCCCCTTCAGGACACCCTGTTGGCCAAGATTCTTCCATTGTTTCTAAATACAATGAAGAGGAAAAGGAGGATGCTAGAGATCAGTATTTGTAGCAGCAGCAAAGTTCTTTGGTAAATTCTTTGGTTGAATGAGGCACCCCTGCTGCTACAGTTAACCTCCAAGGACCCCTCAAAGAACCCAGGAGTAAATAGAAGCGATGCCAGGGCTTGCTGAGCAAGGCTTTGCAATACGAACCATGGGCACCAGTGAGTGAGGAACAACAGGGAACTGAGCTGGATAATAGGCCAGAGTTTGTCCATGACTCCTATCCTGCCATTGCCTACACGAGGGATTTTCCAGGACAGCAGATGGCTAGTGGTGTCAGGGCCTTGGCAACAACAGCAGCATTAGTTGTTTGTGTGCCTAAAATTCTGGCTGGGTTGTAATTTGCTCTGGGTGGTGGCAGGGGCTGGGGGTGGGGGGGGGGCCCTGGCTGAAACTTCCAGATACCACGAGTTTCAGTTCTCTGAGTCAGGCCACACACTGGAGAAAGCAACTGTGAGATGGAAGATCTCCTCCTGAGCTCACTTCTACCCAATTCCTTAGATGGGAGATCATAGAGAAATGGGCAAAACTTTGTCAGTTTTAGATTTCTTTGGTTTCAAGAAAAAATAAGAAAATAAAACTGAACTCGTCAGGGAATGCTAAGCTTATGGTTACCCTGACATCAAGAAAAGTATAGGGCCTGGCCATTGTCAGCTGAGTTCAAGACTAGAACTCCTTTCTTAGACACCTGAAAGCTTTAGTGGGAAGAATTCAGGGATTTGACACTCGCTCATCTAGCCATGGTGAATTCAGGCTGATCTGCAGAAAATGCTTTCCTTCTGGGATTATTTTTCCTTCTCCAACTCCCCTCTTCTCGCCTTATTAGTTTAAAAAAAGGGAAAAAATAAAAACATAAAAATAAATAAAAATCAAAAGGCCATTTAAAATACAACAAAGAACCCCTCACCCCAATTAGGAAATCTTTATCCAGAAGTCAGCTTTAGTAGATCTATTATTAATGGCCCATAGCGTGGAATCCTTAGAGCAGGCACTTGTAACCTCCAGCAATGACAGGCAGGATGGAACAGAAACAGTAGGCCAAAAATCTTTGGACAGGAGGAGGACCACACTAGCCAGGGCTGAGAGTAGGGCTCCTTCCCCCTCAACCAGATGCTGGGGAAGGCAGGAGTGGAGCCAATTTGTTTAAACTCAGCTCTGGCAGGGCACCTCAGGATTCCCAATCTTTCCTCACATTTTGTTTGGTGTAATTTCTCCTTCTGTGCTTCCCACTGTAAAGCTTATTGTGAGGACCTTAAATTGCTGGTAAGCTAAGCCCTCAAGAGAGCCAGGTCTCTGTGGGAAATGGCCAGGCTACAAGCCTTGGGCAGAATGGAGCTGCACAGGCAGCTTCTCTCTGAGCCTGGCAGGCTGATTGTGGTGTGCGTGGGTAGTGAGTGCATGATGTCTTTGGAGTCCCTGTACCAAGAATGAAGGCACACAGTAGGTTCTGTGTGCAGTGAGTGCTTGCCTGTGCAAACTGTGGGAAGGAGAGTGTGGTTGTATAATCACACCTTGCTGCTGGCAGCTCCAACTTCTTGCTTCTACTCTGTAGGGTAGAAGTCTGGGGAATCCCTAGGGCCTCCTAGCCAGTTGGGAGCAATGCTAGGTAAGGGGCAGCGAGAGATGTCCAAGGTAGAGGTTATGGAACATACTGCTAACTAACTGCTATCTACTTGCTAACAAACTGCAAAAAGAACATTGAAAGCACTTCCCATTGTGGCTGGGCAGGAATGGCGTGTCAGTCCACTTGTAGAATTAGAAATTGCTGGGCCCCAGGAGTAGGCTCTCCCTGAGACATTTGAGCTGCTCTTCCCCAAGCTTGATCTTCTCTTCCAGCTCTCGCTGTTCGATGATGAGAGCAGATTTCATCTTCACAAAGTGCTGGTAATCTTGGAGCTGGTCCTGAGGCAGGTAGCGGGAGACCATGCCGAACACCAACTTCTCCCGACGGTCCACATGCTCCTTCAGCTCCTTGGCATCTTCCAACTGCCCTGTTAGCTGCTGCTTCTTCTCTATCAGCACCAACTGAGGAATCATATAGACAAATTAAGAGCCATTCCAGTTACCAGTCATCTGCCTAACTCACTGCTCCGCCAGGAGGGCTGAGGCAAACAGTTCCTCACTCTGCTAGCTCATCAGTCCTAAATGTCCTGCTCTGAAGTCCACCTTCATGCCAAAACTTCTGGACAGGGGGGAGGTGCATTTACCCCTTTCCATCTCCTACACTGTCTTTAATCCATGGACTACCACTGGGGTTGGTGGGGGGGTAGGAGTGGGAGGTGCAGAGGCTCTGACAAAGCCAGCTCATGCCCCTTCCACCTGGAGAACAAATATCACTGTGACAATGCTTTCAAAATGATGTGTGTCTCCATGTGGACCTGTGTGAGTGCACATGTCCACATGTGTATGCACAGGCGTATGTGTCTCTTAACATGGATTCAGACTGGTATTCCTTTTTTTAAAAAGATTTTATTTATTTATTCATGAGAGATAGAGAGAGACAGAGAGAGAGAGAGAGAGAGAGAGAGAGAGAGAGAGAGAGAGGCAGAGACACAGGCAGAGGGAGAAGCAGGCTCCATGCAGGGAGCCCGACGTGGGACTCGATCCTGGGTCTCCAGGATCATGCCCTGGGCTGAAGGCGGTGCTAAACTGCTGAGCCACCCGGGCTGCCCTCAGACTGGTATTCCAAACCACTTGTGCATGGAAAGGGAATGCACTTTGGTTCAGGGATGTATGCAGAGTGGCCCAAACTGTGAAACTGACAGACTCTCAGTCTCAGCTACTTGTTGAGATCTCCTCCTTCAACTCAGAGAGAGAGAAAGTGGGGTGAAATTGCTCTACTGTTGCTGCTGCTGCTACTACTATTACTACCACCATCAGTACCAAGACTATGACTACTATCACTACCATTAAAACCACTAACACCAATAATACCACCACCACTACCACTACTACTACTACTACTACTACTACTACTACTACTACTACTATTATTTTTTAAAAGATTTAATTTATTTGAGAGGGAGAGAGAAAGTGAGCAGAGGGAGGGGCAGAGGGAGAGGGAGAATCTCAAGCAGACTCCCTGCTTAGCATGCAGCCTGTGATGTGGGGCTTGATCTCATGACCTGAGCCAATATCAAGAATCAGAGGCTTAACCGACTCAGCCACCTAGGTGGCACCACCACCACCACCACCACCACCACCACCACTACTACTACTATTACTATCACTATCACTAGCAATAACATTACTACAACTACTATTTACTACTACTACTATTACTACTACTGGCAGGTAGCACTGATTCAGTGTTTACCCTGTTCTAGGCCCTGTTTTAAGTAATTAATAAGGATTATCTAATTTAATTCTTATGAACCCATGAGGTAGGGTGTTTTCGAAGAGACTTAGACAGAGGAAGGTTAAGTAAGCTGCCCACAGCCACGCACCTAATTATTGGTAGATCCAGAATTATAAGACAACTTAAAAGCCAGTGCCCACCCTCTTTTTTAAAGATTTTATTTATTTATTCATGAGAGACACACAGAGAGAGACAGAGGCATAGGCAGAGGGAAAAGCAGGCTCTCTGCAGGGAGCCTGATGTGGGGCTCAATCCCAGGACCTGGGATCATGACCTGAGCTGAGGCAGATGCTCAACCACTGAGCCACCCAGGTGCCCCCACTGCCCATTCTCTTAACACTATGCTTTACTGTCTCTCATACTAGCCAAATCTGAAAGAGGAAGCCCTGAGAAGGAACAGATGGCATTTCCCTCCATCCACACCCCAGAGACCCCAACTCTACCTTCTCCTGGTTGGCCTCTGCATCAATGCTGTTGAGAGCATTCTCCACCCGGGCCAGTCGTCCAGAGAGCGACAGCAACAGGTTGACCACTTTGTCCAGGTCCCCAATAAACAAACGATATTTTTCAAACTCATTGGATTTGCAGATCGCTTTTAGGTTGGCTTCCACCTCCTCCCCAAGGGCAGAGTTGGCACTGATGTCCTCTAGCAGTCCTCGCTGGGCCTCCCTCAGGACAGAGAGTTTTCTGCCAATGCTTTCAATAAGCTGTATCTAGGAGAAATAAACAGGGGAAGGCAAAGGATGAGAGTGGGGACAGAAATGGGTCTGCACTTTTAACCTCTGTTTTGGGATCCCCGAGACAGATGGCAGGTTCCACTTGCCGTCAGAAACAAAGGAAGCCTGAGCAAGTCATGAGCAATTCCAGTTTTCTGGACAGGCGCCCTCTCTTCTGTCTCTTCAGATCTGGTAGGAATCCGTTACCACCAAACTTCTTGGCATTAGATAAGTGGTACCCAGGGGCTAATTTTCATTTGCCAGATGTAACTTAATGAACGCTTGCTGAGACCATTTAATAAACAGGAATTGAAATGCTTGTGGGAGCAGAGGTTATCAAAGCATTATCATCAAGTATTTGCCTGGGGCTTCATTCATTTTCCTTCAACCCACTGAAGTATCTCTCATGTGCCCTGGCACTATGTTTCATGTTCGCTCCCTCCATTTGGCTTTTGCGGCCTTTTGGATAAGACTGGGAGTTCTTAAGTCCCGATGACTAGGTTTAACTTCTGGTTTTGCCAACTTCCTGGTTGTGTGGCCTTGGGCGAATTTCTTTACAGAATTTAACACTCTTGATGCAGAATGGGCATAACTGCAGTACTGACTTCATTGAACAAGACTATGCATGCAAAGGACCTAGCATGGACTGAGTACTTAATGAAGTCTGGCTGCTATCATCATTCAGCCTGGCCCCACTCAACCATTCCAATCCCACAGCTCTGAATCTTTCAGGATTGGGCCCTCATTCCATCTGCAGTCATACTTGTGTTCTTGATTGGATTTATGCAGTTTTACCTGCTCTCGATCTCTTCCCTCACTTTGGCTGTTCCCATTCTTTCTTCAGAGCCCAGCTTTGCTCCCATCCTCCCTGCAGGAAGCTGCTGTCCCCATAGCCCTTCTCTCAATGACCTCTTTCTTTTCTGAACTCTACTGCCTTTCAGAAATAGAACACTCGAGTATAATTTGACATTGTTCATCCCCTGTTTCACGTGGGTGCATCCAGTCTCTCTCCTATTGGTGATGTTTCTTCAGGAAAGCACTGCCTGAGTCTTCTGATCTGTCTCCCCTGTAGGTGTAAACAGTTTTGGAACTCCATTCATAGGAAGGTAGTGTGGTAGTGTAGCTGCTTAGAGTCACAGATGCCTGGGTCCCAATTCCACTGCCTCCAAACTGTGTGACCTTGGGCAAGATACCCAATCTCACGGAGTCTTCTTTCTCTGTTTCCTCATCTGTAAACAAGAAGCTTTTCCTCTTCTCCCCCCACCCTGCCACCATGGTAAGGGTTAAATGAGATCATAGAAGTAAAATGCTTAGCATTGCTCCTGGTATCTTAAGTGCTCAGTACCTGTTTAGTGCTGCTGCTGCTGCTGCTGTTATTATCATTACCAGGCACTCAGAGCTAGTAGATGCTTGTCTGGTGCAAAGTCTTAAGAATTGAGCCACCCCACGTTGCTCATGGCCTGTGCTGTCAGCATCATATTGTCATTAAGAGCATGGACTCTAGTGCCCGACTACTTGGGTTTGAACCCCAGTTCTGCCACAAAGCATTGGTGTAACCTTGAGCAAATCACTCAACTTTCTGTGCTTCAATTTCCCCATTGAAAAAATGGGATAACAATAGCACCTACCTCATAGTACTGTTCTGAGAAGGAAATGACTTAATATAGGTTACATGCTTAGAACGGCATCTCATATCTTGTGTGTGTATGTATATGTATATGTGTGTATATATATCATATATATATGATATATATATATATATATATATATATATACTGAAGTATGCCTCAGTATATGTTTGTTTTTCTCATATTTTTTTTAGAGAGAGAAAAGGAGAGAGAGTGCACACAAGCAGTGGGGAGGGGCAGGGGAGAGGGAGAGGGGGAGAGAGAATCTTAAGCAGGTTGCACACTAGGTGTGGAGCCTGACACAGGGCTCAATCTCATGACCCTGAGATCAAGACCTGAGCCAAAATCAAGAGCCAGACACTTAACTGACTGAGCCAACCAGGCGCCCTGCTTCAGTGTTCATTTTATTATTATTCCCACCCAGGTACTCTGGGACCATAGGCTTGTGGTTTTCTAGCATGTGCTCCTTTCTAGTAGTTTATTTAGAAATGTCCAAGGAGAAATGTCCAAGAAATGTCCCAAGAGAGCCTGCTCTGGGTCAAGGGCCTGTTTCTATTTCAGAACTGGCCCAAAGTCAGGAGATTACCATGATCTTATGTCTGAAGCATCATAGGTTTACATTTAGGGAAAATTCTAAAACCCACTGGGGATCAGGGACCAATGATATGAATGAGGCAACACAATCAGATGCCAACAGGCTCTCAGTTATATCCCTGACCTCTGTTCTCCCAAACAAAACTCAATGCCAGGGACAAGGGAAGGCTGGGGGCCAAACGATCAACTTGGAAAATCACCTACCCACACTAGCTCTTCAGTTCCATCATTCCATAGATTTGGAAGGATGCAAGCAAAGAGAGCCCTTTGTTTCTTGGCACCTGGCTTTGCCACCTGAACTTCATTCAGCCCTGGGGAAAGTATACTGGCTAAAACTGAGTTGCTTTTCTAGGATATTACAACTTGGTGACCTTCTTCACTTGTCTTCCTCGGAGACAAAAGCTGGCCTAGCTCCCCCAGAATCACTTCAGATCACTATCTGCTGTTCTTTGCTTTGCCATTTCTGATCATTTTTCTCTTCCTGGTCAGACTCTTATTAGGTTTGCTTCTAATAAAAAGTCCTGAGTAAGCTGGGAGCAGCCTTGCCATGCTCAGGGAACACAAAATCCAAGGAGGCAGGCATCTGAATCAATATAACTTTGATACCACCATACTTCCCATTCTTTCTCTGACATTTTGCTTCCAGTTTGAAAGTGGTGGGGAGGTCTCCTGCAAATGGCCTCCAGCTTTCCTACAGGTCATGTCCTGAATGAGAAGCATGGGCAGAGGAGCAATTTACATTAAGTTCAGATGTTCACAAAGTGATAAATTAGGCCTTTGGAGTTGCCATGGAAACCCTATTTGCTTAGGAAATAAAATGGGTAAGTGCAGGGAGGGCAAAGTGATTCCAGGAATTTGATTAGAAAACTAGCCCTAGTGATGCTCAGAGGAAGAATGGGGAGGCTTCAGAACATCATAATTATTTCTATTGTTCATTCTAGTATTTTTAAGAGATGATTGATTCTTCTTGCAAAACTTCTTACTAAAGTTTATGGGCCTATAATTTCTCCTCTTTTGGCTTGGTCAATTCATTCCTTCTCCTGGAAAGTCACATGGAGAATACAGCCAATGGCTGCTATTGGTCTGAGCTCGCAGTCAAAAACTCTGATGTACAGCAGGCGGTGAGTTACTTACAAGGCTGGCTTATTTCACAGGGATGGCGCATGATAAAGTGGGAGGTGCATCATTCTTGACTTCAAGTTCTGGATCTACCCCTAAAGTCTGTAACGCTGAGCAACCTAATCCTCTCCACTGGTAAAATAAGGAGGGGGCAGAAATCAATGTTGAACAGTTTTAAGGATTCGACAGATCCAGTGATGGTGGTGGTGTGGTGGTGGTGGTGGTGCTGCTGCTGATTTCTACCACTCTCATTACTATTATTGGCTGGATCAAAAAGAGAGACTGGAGTTGCACTTGATGAACCCAGGGGGGCTATTTGATTTCCATATTGGAGATATAGGGATGTACCAAGTTGTTGTGGAGCACGTAGAGGGCAGGTCAACCTCCAGACACTCCAACTGAATGCTGAAAATCTAAGATCATATCAGAGAATTTCACCTTTTTTTGAGCCAGTTCAGGGTCAACTTCTTCCTCTCCCAGGCCAATCTCTGCCATCTCAGGCTGGTCTTTCAACTTGTTCAACAATTCTGCTTTGGCCACAGAAATATTGTAATAAGCTGAGTAAGAGGTAGGGATTCCTGGAGCCCCCAGAGGAGGTGAGAAGTGCTGAAATTCTTGTCTGTGGAAACAAAGAATGACCATTTGAATACCTCCATTGAGAGACTCCTGACCTCTCTGCTTCTTAATTCACCTCATTGGTGAAAGTGGGACCCTGCTTTGCCTGGGAGCTGGGGAATAAGGAACTGGTGGACCAGTAAGCATGGCTAAAATGTAAATGGGCCACATGAAGATCATCAGGAAGCCAACTCTGAGAACACAGAAGGCTATTTCTATGCCCCTGACTTCAATGGGTAGAGGAGCTTCTTTAGAGATGATCTGATTTGCTCAGCACCCAACTAAGAGCCAGAAAAAAACTGGCAGGCCCCAAAGTTCTGGGCTTCTGATCTTCCATGAGTCCCCTCAGTTCATGGCCCAGGCATATGAATCCCTGGGTGGGGAGGGGTAGGATGTATCTGAGACCTTAGCTATTCATCCTCCATAGCTGTTGGCCTTCCTCCTATCCAATCCCACACTGCCACCCACTCCAGATCGATCTAGTCTGCTTGCTTACAAAGGCACCCTATGGCTTTCCTAGACACTCTCACAATTTATTCTTTTCTGGAAAAGCCACTACTACTTGAAATGGCCCCTCCATTGCAGATCTCCCACGGCAAAGAGGTCACCCATGACCTCAGCAGTGGTCACCATGTTGGAGGCCGGGGTTAACACCCCTGCCAGGGACTTGTCACGGCCTACCACATCTCTCATGAGCTCTTCTGAGACTGCCTCTGAGGCAGGCCTTCAGCCTGGGAAGGGATAGCATCTCTCCACTTCTGGCATATCCCCAGTGGCCCCAGCCTCCTCCATGGTTGCAGAATGAAATGGGGAAAAAATGGAATCAGTGGCGCCTAGGGGCTTGACAAGGGTAGCAGCAGACCCTGTTGTCTTGGGTTCACTGAAGCCTGAAGGGCTGAGATGCTGCTTCTCAGAGCCCCAGCCCATACAAGAGAACTGCTCCTCAGGAAAGAAGTAGTTCTGGCTCCATGCTGCCTTGGGTTTGGACTCTTCTGCAATCAGGGCTTCTGGTCTGGAGTGAGGAAGGAGATAAAGAGAAATGCTTTAATGTTGGATTTCAGTGATGGACGGGCAAATATCTCCAACCCCGGTTTATGCAAGAGGGAGGCTCACCCCCACTATATTCTTGTTGCCTACCAGTCACCCCTACCCTCCACCTGTCTGTGTCGCTGCCCCTTTGCTAACCTCTAGCTGCTTGAAAGGAAAAATAGGAGAAACTCATTAGTCATTTTTGCAGCTACTTGCAGCTCTTAGATGAAGGTCAAAAATAATGGTTAAAAGGCTCCACAGCTATTTACTGATTCATGCTATGCTGTCTTCTAATTCGTCACACAAAAGAAGCTTGGGCATGCCAATATTCCTCATCCAAGGCATTCATTTTACATGTGGGTTTTTAAAGTAGCAACACTAATAAATGAACAATAGTAGCTAATATTTGCACAGTGCTAACCACGCTCTAGAAGCTGTCCTAAGATGTGTTTTTATGTGTATGTGTTTGCATGTCTGTGTGTAGATATAGATAAAAAATTTAATGTTCATGACAACCATTTTATAGATAAGGACCATGAGGCACTGAGAGGGAAAATGACTGCCCCAAGGTCACCAGATAGTAAATGACAGACCCATGATTTAGACCTAGGTGACCTAACTCCAGAATCTATACTTTTAGCCAGTATGCTATACTGCCAAAGGGAGAACTTGACATCATATAAAACCTTGTATGTAAGGAATTTTCTGGCTGGACTATATGTTAGCAGACAAGAGAGTACATTCTGGAGGGAATATGAATGTATGAACTTAGGGAATTCTTATCTATGAGAAAAATATCTAGGGTATGTGTGAGAGTTCTGAGTTAGAAAGTGCTGGAAGGAAGTACAGAATTAAGGGGAAAAAGGATGTGGCTGTATGTCAGTTATATCTCAATAAAACTGGAAGTATATCTTAAAGATATATACTAATTATAGACTCAGATCTCAGCAGACACAGCCCTGTACCATATCATAGTTGTCATATTAGGCACTCTGTTCTAGGGCCACTGTCCTCATAATCTCTGCTAATAGGGCAGGAGTTAAGGAGCTCTATGACAACATAATCTGCATTTGATAATGAGTATCAAAGCAAAAATCAGATTCCTTCTGCAGAGCATAGAGTTCAAAAGGCAAACTATACCTGTACTTGAACCAGAGTTAGGAGACTTCACCAACGCTTGAAAAATTCCACTAACCTGCTTCTATATGTATCCCAGCATGTGTAACTGAATAGTGTGTGGGTTATAGAGATGCTCTGATTTGACTTGGCTGAAAATAGGATGTCTTTTTTTTTTCATTTTACATTCAAAATATTATATATCTCCTTGCTCCTAGCACTTCTTTCTCCCTTACAAAATCTTAAAGCCACTTCCTTCTGGTTAGAACCCTATGCTTTCTGGAATAGGATCTTGAGGAGCTCCAAGATCTTGGGAGGATGTAATGGGCACAGTGAGCCAGATGGCCTGAGTTCTGGCTACCTGTGATCTTCTGCAGGTTACTTTAGCCCCCTGTGCCACACTGCTGTCACCTAAAAGATGTGGGACACTAATGACATCTATTTCACAGGTTGGTTGTGAAGATGAAATCCACCAACATACAAAAGTGCTTAGAACAATGAATGCTTGGCACAATAGTAAGCAGGCAGAAAATATTAGCTTTATTGGGAATAACACTGTTCCTTAAATCCACATCATTCAAAAGGCATCTATAATTGATTTTCTGCAGCCACAACCTAGGGCTGTGTGCAAACAGATGTTTCTCCTTGCATCCAATCATCATTAAAAAATAAATAAATATCTGGAACGAGTGACAAGATCTCTAGCAATAGCAGTTTTCTTCTCTCTGGCCAAAGCTCCAAGGTGAATGGAGGTAAAGAAAAGGAGGAAGGAATAGGAGGCTGAAAGGGGAAAGTCAGGTCTGTAACCACTAGCTCTGGGACACTCTGCCCTGTGGTGCAAAAAGGTCTTGTAAAGGCCTTGCTCTCATACAAGAACAAGATCTCTCTGAGAGGGGCTGCCTAGGATGGCGAATAAAGCGTAGGTTTTAGTGTCACACAGATCTGGCTTTGGAATCTTTGCTGTGCAATTCCAAGTTAGTCCCTTATTTTCCCCCACTGTATGTAGTACCCTCATCTGTCAAATGGGAATCATAATGGCCCATGGGGCTGCTGGGAGGTTCAATGAAATAGTGGGTATGAAATGACTAGCAGTGTGTGGCACATAGCAAATGCTTAATACATGTTTAGCCATTTGTCTATACATTCTTTCTTCTTAAATGTTAAGTGCCTACTACATGCTAGGTCACCCTCCCTTCTCATTGCTGGTGACAGTAACAGGTAAACAGCCATAGTCTCTTGCCACAAAATGTTTTCCAATGACAATGAGAATGCTCCCCAGCTAGATGGACAGCTTGAGAAGCAGCTGCCAGGGATTGGATAAGAGATTCTCAGGCTGTCTAGGAGTGAGGCCCTGTCATGCTGTGCCTGTGGCACCTCATGCTGGAGAACTTCTCAACTGCTTCCAGGTGGCCCAGTAAAGGATTTACATGTCCATAAAAAACACAAAAACAAGGTACTTCTAATAGCAACAAGTCTCAGGCGAGTTTCCTTCTATGAAGGGATTTAAAGAAAGCACTTATGGGATAGATGCCTTCCCCCACCCCCTCCCCCAGCAGAGTGTGGGCTGAGCTCTCTGAAGGATAACTCCAGGGCTGAGGCCAGAGTTCTTTTGCTTTGGAGCCAAGAGGACAACCACCATGCAGTCTAGGGCACGCTGATGAGCCCTGGCACGGTGAAGTAGACACACACCAGCAGCCCTGTGGCTAGATTACACTCCTGCTCTGGCCTCCTGCCCAGGCAACTAGCCCCCTCAACTACCACCTATTGCCCACTGAAGAAGCAAATGCAAAGAGGCAGGGGAAGAAGCGGTGCGGGTGGTGGAGAAAGTGGAAGAGGGAAAGGATGCCTGTAGCTGTTATAAGGATCAAGCAGGGCATAAAGCGCCCACCTCCCCTCGCAGGACCACCTTGGAGCAGAGTTTAGAAGCCCAGGCAGGTCCTGGAGCAGAAGCAGGACAGGTTGTGAGCTGGCCTCTTATTCTAGAGAACAAGCAAACGAAAAGGCAGAGAAGGACCTGTACCAGGCTTTGGGGAAATGCCATGAGGCAACAAGGGTTTAATGTCTTCCGGGAAATAATATAGTATTTTGACAGTGATATTGAAGAACATCAGCAAGTACCATTTACTGAGCACTGATGACGAGCTAGACATGTGGCTCTCTACTTCATCTAGATTATCTTCACATTTACAACAACCATGTGGAATGGAGATCACTGTGCCTGTTTTCCTGGTGAGGAAAATATGAGGCTGGGGACAGTTTAATCCCCCGAGTCAAGGCCACACAGCTGGTAGGTAAATGGTGGAGGTACAATTCAAACTCATGACCTTCAGGGACCTTTCTTTCATAAGCACTTACTTGGGGGAGTCAGTGGTCTCCTTCTCGGATGTCCTCCAAAGCCTACCAGTACCATAATAGCCAGGGTGCTGAGCCTTCTCTGGTGGAGATCCCAAGTGGCTCCTTATTGGAGGCAGGAAATTGCCAGGATGGAGATCAAAGGACTCTTGCTCTGCCGGAAAGCTTGGCAGGCCCTGCCTTGGAGCCTCCAAATGACCAAAGCCCAAGGGTTGTGGCTGTTCCAGGACCTCTTCGGGATGGAGGGCACTCATACCAGTGGTTTCTGAACTGAAATACTGGGGTGGCAGCTCCTCCTCCTCCCCCCCCTTTTCCCCCCTTTCTTCCTGTTCTTCATCTTCTTCATCCTCTGCCTCTTCCTCTTGCTGCTGCTGCTGCTGCTGCTGCTGGACTGCACGAAAGAGCCTGTACTTCTCCCAGTTGGGAGGAGGAGGGCGAGGAGGAGGAAATGCCTTCTTCCTGGCTCCCAGAGGATCAGGCTGGGTCTCATCAACTTTGGTGAAGAGCTCCCTCCTGTGCTGCCCCCAGGCCCGGGAGCTCTGAGGCTCCAAGTTGATATGGCTCTCTGAGAAGGCCCGGCTACGTAGCGGGTAAGGCACAGAGGCCATGGAGCGCCCCTCCTCATAAAGAGAAGTTTCATCTGTTTTTTTCGAGGAGTGCTTGAAGTCTCCAAGAAGGTCAAGGGAAGAGATCGCTCGGTAGCTTGACAAGTCCAGTGGTGGGTTCTCAAGGCAAGGGTGGAACGGGGTTGCCCATGAAAGGCTAGCCTTGGGATGAGCCATTTCCCTGTAAAACAGCAAGATGAGGACTGTGTAAAGCAAGTTGCAGATGGCCCCATATTTTGGATAACGTCATTTCTGTAAAACTCAAGATGGCCTCCAAACAAAGCAAATATACACAGTAAATGTAATCATAAGAATAGTAATACTAACACATAATATTGATAGCTAACACTTAATAAGTATGCACTAAATGCCAGGCACTGTTTCAAGTGCTTTCCAGGTCATCTTAAGTTAATTAATGCTCATAATGATCCGAGGAGGTAGCTATCATTAGTGTCCCCATTTTACAGCCAGGAGGACTAAGGCACAGACAGGTTAAGGAACTTGTTCAGGGTCATAAAGCTAGCGAGTGGTAGAACTAGGATCTAACCTGGACAGTCTAGCTCCAAAGTTTGGATACACACACTACCGTACTCTGGCACTCAGATTGAATGTGCTGTGTACTGGGGCTTACAAGTTCAGCTATCCTGTTAAATTGTTTTTGTTTGCTTTGTTTCTAATCAGGAAAGATTTTAAATATTTAGAAACATACAGAGATTGCTATAATAATTATTCATGTTCTCACCTACTGCCCAGGATTAGCATATTTTACTACACTGCCATCTTATGCTTGATGATTTTTTTAAAAGATATACATAATACCCTGTTTCACTCCTCACTTCTATTCCCCTGATGCCTCTCCAGATGCAAGCTGTATCGTGGATCTGACATGCTTTCTGTCCATGTTTTTATAGTTGTACCAAAAAATATCAAGCAGGCAATCCCCAAATATCTACAATTTGGGGCTTAAAATACCTCCTTCTAAAGCAATTCTAGTCAGAATTCTCAACAGGAATTTTTAACTATGGCATTTTTCAATTAACTGGCAAGATAAAGTAAGATGTTATATTAAAAATATTTTGCTACAGAAGAAATAGGAGTAAGGGATTAGGTATATCATAAAGCAATTACAATTAAAACAGTGTGTTACTGATTAATAAAGCAGAATGAAAACTCCAGAAACATATCAAATTATCTATAAAAACATCGTATATAATTCACCTTCCATAACAAGGAGATAAAGTACGATTTTTTAAAAAAATTTTGAAAAAAAATAAAAAATAAAAAAATAAAAAAATTTTGAGATAACTGCAGAGCAGCGATATTTGGAGTATACCATCTATTATATACTAAGATAAATTCCAGATTCAATAGTTAAGGGTGTGTGTGTGTGTGTGTATTTCAATGTATGTGTTATATGCATATACGTGTATATATATTATACATTTAGAAGAAAAAAACTATCAGGAGATTAAAAAGACTATCACTTGTGAGGCAAAATGAGATTCTCATCTTATAAGCAATAGAGTTCAAAAAGAATATCCAAAGACACAAGTCCAGGTTTATTTAAATATGTATAAAATATGCCTAAAAAGTCAAACTTCTATATAATAGTGACCAAAGCCAAAGGACATCTCTTTAGTCTCAGAGAATAAAGAGTTAAGCCCTCAAACCCAAAGATCTGGTTTCCTGCTGTAGCCTGTGAGCAATCAGCATCATGCTAAGTACTGCCTAGTGACAGGAAATTCCAGCAGTTCAATTAAATCATCAGACAGATACCCATTCAATAGTCATACTGAAGACTGAGAATATTTCTTTAAGAAATAATGATACACATAATGGTAGCCAAGCTCAGATAGAATGAAGAACAAAATCTCCTTCACTTGGCTCATCTTCAGTCCCCATCATGGCTAGTTCATCACTTGCATGTATCAGAAATTCCCTTCCACATATCCACACTCCCTTCTCATTTGGGCCTTCGCCCACCTATAGTTCCTTTAGATTAGAACAACTCCTAGTGTTCAAAGTGTTCTGCCTGGCATTTTATTCATCAGGAAACAAACAAACACCTAGTACTTATTACACAACTGATGACTTATTGAACACTACATCTGAAATTAATGATGTACTATGTGCTGTACTATATGCTGGCTAATTGGATTTACATTTTTAAAAAAGAAAACAAGGCAGTGAGTGGAAAGTAAAAGGATGACAAATACTATCAGGCAGAGAACTTTCCTGACCACCTTATCTAAAATAGAGATGACTTATCCTTAACAATCCTTTTTCTATTTTGTTCTTTCTCAGAACATGTATCCCTGCCTAATATTACATCACATACCTACTTTTGCTTGTTTATTTTGTGCTCCACTCTGTAACTAAAATGTAAACTCCATGAGGGCAGGGGATCTCAGGTGTCTCATTTATCTAGTACCTAATGCCTGGCACACAGTAGGCATTTAATAAATATTTAATAAATTAATTAACGAATAGAAATACCATATGATCCAATAGTTCCACTGGCTATATACCCAACAAAAATGAAAACACTAATTTGAAAAGATATATGCACCTTTATGTTCACTGCAGCATTATTTAAAAGAACCAAGATATGGAAGCATCCTAAGTGTCAACAACATGAATGGATAAAGAAGATGAATGGATAAAAAAAGGCACATGCACACACACACACACAGGAATATTACTCAGCCATAGAAAGGATGAGATCTTGCCATTTGCCACAGTACAGCTAGACTTAGAGGGTATTATGCTAAGTGAAATAAGTCAGATAGAGAAAGACAAATACCATATGATCTCTCTCATACGTGGGACCTAAAAAACAAAATAAATAAACAAAAAGCAGGAACAGACCCATAAATACAGGAAACTATCTGATGGTAGCCAGAAGGGTGCAGGGCAGTGGGAGGGAATGAAAAATTGGTGAAGGGGAGTGGGAGATACAGGCTTCCAGTTACATTTGTGAGCATAGCATAATGTATAGACTTCTCAAGTGTCTATGCTGTACACTTGAAGCTAATGTAACGTTGTGTATCAAATATACTTCTAGAAAATAATAAATGAACTCATGCCAAAAATGAAAAAAAAACCAACAGCCATGATATTCATATCATAACAAAGTTGAGTTAATGGCAAAAATTAACAAACAAGGCAATTAAGCTCTAACAATCCTAAATCTTTATCAAACAACATAGCACCAAAATTCGTAATGCAAAAGCCATAGGAAATGGAAAGGTAGAAAATGGGAGCAATGAAATATGAGGCTTTTTCAGCTGATGACAGATATGACAGTCAAAACTAAGATAATGGGAACATTATATTTCTCCATTTTCAAGGGCCCATTGAACCCTTTTTAAATTGACTCTCTATTAGGACAAAAAGTGAAAGAAGTACAGACTATGGTACCTAATCACTACATAACAACACTAGAAATTAGTAACAAAAATGAAAGACAAAAGCTTTTAGCACATAGAAAATAAAAGGGAAAAATATCCTCCACTCTAGTCAACGAAGAGATCTGACCTGAAATTGTAGAATACCTAAAAAAAAAAAAAAAACAATGAAATATCAGAAGCTAGAGAATATGACTGACAAAAGCAGTGGTCAAAGGAGAATCTGTAGCCTCCAACGCTTTTATATTAATACATAAGAACAAATTAAAATCAATGAATTAAGCATTGAACAAAACAAGTCAAGAAAAGAGCCACAGAAACAGACCTAAGCAAAGCAGAAAGAAAACTAATTGTAGAAATTAATACACTGGAAAACAAATGGTAGAATTAATAATTAAAGCCAAAAGTTACTTCTTCAAAAAAATATAAAACAATAAAAAAGATAAACCATTTGCTAATCTAATTAAAAATCCCAAATGCACAAAATTAGAAATGGAGAAATAACCACAGTTATGGAGTAAATGAAAAGAGTAAGAGAATACTTTGTTCTACTCTATGAAAACACATTTGAAAGCTTAGAATGGTTTTCCAGGAAAACAAAAATTACCAAAACCAATTGCAGAAGAACAGGAATATCAAAACCCACCTGTTACTATAGGAAACAATGTTGATACATTTGACAAAAAAGATAGCACACTCACGCTGTCTTCTGTGAATTCTACCAACTTCCAAGGATCAGACAACCTCAATGCTATTCACACTTCCTAGACTAGAATCTACTGAGGGAGAAGAAAAGAATCCTGCATAATGTCGATACCAAAACCCAACAACTAGGACATATACAGAGGAAAACTAGAAACCAGTCTCATCTAAGAATACTGATGGAAAAGTCTCACCATTTTTTTGCATTTAAAAACATAAATAAAATTATAAAAAGAAAAAACATAAATATTAGGACATTAGCACATATAAAGAATTTATTAATAAACTACCAACATATATTGAAAGTGCATTAAAAAAATTCTTTCTAAAGAGGGTGCATGACCCAAAAAAAGTCAGAAATCACTGGTCTGGGAGCATTGTTCTTTTTTTTTAAATAAATTAATTTTTATTGGTGTTCAATTTACCAACATACCAACATACAGAATAACACCCAGTGTGGGAGCATTGTTCTTAATCAAAGTGGCTCTTGATCGAAATTACCCGGAGAGGTCATTGAAAATGCAAATTTCTAGGCCCTGCCCCCCACCCCCGAAATTGGGATTCAGCACCTCTGCGGCAGGGCCTGGGAATCTGCAACTGCCCTCAAGGGATTCTACTACAAGTGGCTCTGGGACCATATTACAGAAACCAGGGTCCGGGGTGAAAACGATGGGAGTGCTGTGGCTTGGGATGGAGGTTTGGGGGAGCAGAGTTCTTTGGCCCAGTCGGATTGGTTTCCAATCTATACAGCATGTCTTCCACCACTTGCCAAACACCTTCCCATCCTTCTTTCCCTGCCTCTCCCCGCCCTCTTCTCCACCCTCATCTCCAATCTAGCTCTTAAGGAAATGCAGGTGGCATCAGCGTCTCCAAAGGCCCCAGCTGGGCCGATGTCCTGTAGGATGGTGAGAAGAGTCCCGCCCCAGAATAGTACTTAAATTTACCATTTTCTTTTTCCTTTGCCAGAGCACAGGAAAGGCAAGGCAAGAAGAGCATAATGGAAAGAACACAGTGCCAGAAAAACTTGGGTCTGAATTCCAGTAAAAATTTAAAATCTGGCTCCATAACCCAA